GCAGCCCGAGAGCAGCGCCTCGTCCCCGACAAATTCCGAAGGAAAAGCTTCCTTCCGCTCCCTTCCCGCCAGCGCAGTCTGGTTGGCGCTGCTCCCCGCGCCCACCCTGCCGCGCCGCTGACAGCCCGTGCCCGTCCGGCGCTCCCACCTCTTCCCAAACCTTCCTCCATCCCGTCCCTCGGCGGGGCTAGAATCTAGAACCGGTGACAGCCAAGGGAAACCCAGTCACCCCCGCTGTTGCCATGGGAACGCTTCGGCGTGAGCAGTCACTGCCGCCACCGCAGGCGCCCGGGCTGTATGTGGTGGAAGTTCGACAGAAGGCTACCCAAAACTTGGGAGAAGGGCTGGTTTTGCACGCTTGCTAGGTCAGTTTTAGGGCTGGTACCTTTAAATAAACACCAGAATACTTCGAGGATTGTTACAAACTCGTATTCTAAGTGTTTTCTATAGCTAAACATATAAATAGATTCATACCATTAACACTTGTGACAGCAAGAAATTCCTGCATCGCTATCTACTTCAACAAGACCACCTCGAATTGTGAAAAAATCGCTAGAGAAAGGTCGTGAAGTACCCAACTCTCATGCATTTCAGCTGGAATTGGGCAGCTAAAGGGAATAGCTGGGCCTTACTCCCTTCAGACTGGAGTTTTAGGTAAGACAGAGGCTGGATAACTTCACTAACGCCTCGTGTCTCAGACAGGCGGGAGCTGTTCGGTACGTTACTGACAGCCTGAGCGGACGCACTGCAGTCAGGATTCACAGAGTGCTGGAATTCAAAGCCTGAGCGTTACAACGGAAAGAAAGTCTCTCGGGAGAGCCATCCCTGCCCCGGCTCTCCGGGTACACTGGGATGGACCATAGTCTTCGCCTCGTAAACAGGAAAACGCCATGTATTAACTGCAGGGTTGGAAAAGAGTCAGGCAGAGCTGATCCTGCTCCACACCTACTGATTTAGCCACACCTCACGATTATCATATGAAAAGAAAACGAAAAAAACCAAAACAATCGAAAGGGAAGCAATCGGTGCGTGGCTGCGAGCCCAGCTAACACCACCGCTGCGTGCAGGCTCGTAAACGCTTCAGAATTGACCAAGAGGAAGCACGTTTCGTGATGACACAATCTTGTTGCTGTAGTCATTCATCGAAGGGAAACTCCCACAGGAAAAGGCATAAAGCTGTTAGGGAAGGCTAAGGAGCTGCTCAGCGCCAGTCAAACACTGCCTTAGATTCACAACAGAGCTGAACATGAGCACCAGCCAAGGCCCTTTGCAGTTTTTTTCTGGGTCCCTCAGGGGTAGTGCAGGGTGTGGTTTGGCCCAGCAAGGAACCTCTTACAGACCTGCAGGTGCAGACGGTGGTGCCAGCAGCACATATGCCTCCTTCTCCTCTGCCAGACCCCTCTGGCTGGCGACTGGAGGAGGGGCACCTTGGGGAGGCTTCGTTGAGCGCCACAGGGAAAGCATCTTCCTGGGTGGGAATGAGAAACAGACTATGCAAAACCTGAATGACCGTTTGGCCGCCTATCTGGACAAGGTGCGCTCCTTAGAAGCGGCTAATGCTCAGCTGGAAAGCTGCATCCTGGAGTGGCACAAGACAAAGTCGCACGGAAAGAGGTATGACTTCAACCAATACGAGCAAAACGTCACTGACATGCAAAGACAGGTAAGTCAGAGCTGGGACTGTGTCATTCGAGGCGCTTTTAAGGAGTCTGGGTACTCATTTCTGCTGATGGCTTTCCTTTAAAGTTAAATAGAACCTTTTAAATGTTAGAAATACTAATGACAGTGGTTCCAGGATCTGGGCATAAACGTTCCGTGTGTTGGCAAGGAGGAGAGTGGGGTACAAGAAAGGCTGGAGGGGGACGAGGGGGATTCTGCAAGGTCTGGCAGTATGAAGTACGCTGCCCAGTGTTCGTTTCGGTGTGTGAAACTGGTTTGAGTAACTCTGTCTGGCAGAATTCGGTCTTTTGACTGCATATGCATTAATGCAGATTACAGAGCAGGCAGACTGAAGGGGCCGCCGCTCTCACGCATCCTGTCTTCAGACACTCGGTTGCATTTCATTTCTTTGATTCCTGCGGTCACAGTCCATGAAACTGCAGGAGCTTTGGGTCCAACGAGCTTATGTAATCAGATGGAAAAATACTTCATTGTAATTAAGAAAATAGCAGTGACAAATTCCTTGTGGATGCTTTCACTATAATTAAAAGAAGAATTTCTGGTTCCTGCCAGTACTTAATATTAACGTTCAACAGTAACTCTTTCAATCTCCCAAACTCACGTGTCTTCAAATTTAAGCATAATATTAATCTGTATTCATAATGAACATACTTAGCACTGTAACCATCTGTGTGACTAATCAGTGTAATTAACTTTACATAGACATATGGGGCAAAACCCAAAGCTATTCCAAAGGCAACGTTGTTGTTTTCCCTCCACTCTTTAGAATACGGTTACCTGCCATTCTCAAGACCCTGAGAAGTATTTTTCAAAAGGGCTTGGAAAGGGTATTATCCCGCACCTTCGCTGACAGAGGCCAGGGTCTTAATCAAACTCCCTGCTCCCTGTTAAATGTGTTGCCTCCAGGCAGAAGATGAGGCACTCTGACCACAGCCGATGGGGAAGGAGAGCCAGAGTTGTCATCACCGATTCCTGTTTTAAGGATAAAGAAAGGTCATCCGTCTCCAGACCTATCGCTTGAGCACTTTTGGCTTTTTAAAGTAATCCAGAGATAAAAACTTGTTCATCGAGAATATAGGTGTGTTCACAGGGATTTGTAATTAATAAATCAGAAAGATTGAGGAAGACAGGAAGACTCAAAACATAATGCTGGTTGGGGTAAAGCCCTCACTTTTGAAGAGGTTGTACCCAAACCACTTGTTTTTAACACTCCCCACCATCGCTGGCTACAGGCACCTGTTAGACCACCAGCCGCCACAGCCAGTATGCTCTGAACGCGGGGCTCGGACGGGGGAGGAACGGGGTAAAGGATTATTCACAGGTGACAATTCAGTGATTTAACCCAGAATTTTGACTTTCTCTAGAAATTATTGCAATTAGCACCATGACTGCCAGCAGAATGAGTGAAAATACAGCATCTAATTATTAACCATAATTAAATTAATTAACCATGAATTAAAAAGGTGAAACTAATTTAGTACCTAAAATGAAATTTAGACCAAATTTAGGACCCTATATTTAATAATGCAGAAAGTCTATGATATGCTAGCAGTCTAAACTTGGAGGCATATAATCTTTTGGGTTCTACAGTTTGGACGAGACTCTTCCCTGTGTACCTGAATTGGGGATGAATGTGCCAGATGGAGCATTGCTCCAGCCTCACTCCATTCTAACCCAGACACCAAGTAAAATAGCAGCTGTTCTTCAGGTCGATGCCTCATTCGAACATCTTGTACCGCTAAGCGAGCAAACTGGTTCACACAGCATTCAAGGAGACAGGATCAGTGCTGTTGGGCGAAGGGCACAAGACATGCTGAGGAAGAAGTCAGTGAAGGAAGCCACCTTGAAAAAAATCTGTTCCGAGAAGGAATTTGAGTGTATTTTGGATAATAACACGTGAGTTCTTCATTAAGTATCTGTAAGCTTGCGGATTGGTATTAGTGATGCAGACGTACTCGTGATGGATGTGGCGAATAATTCTGTATAATCGTGAACAGCTAAATGTCCACATCTGCACGCACTGCTGACTGGCAGAGCGATCAAGATCTATCAACAGCTGGCAAAACGCTGCCAGTTCAGCCTGCACAGAAAGAGCCATAACGCATTTGTCTAAATGGGTTGCTGTGTTGCATGAGTATGAAGGGGCACACGGCTGAAGAACTCGTGTTGTTTCTCATTGCCTTATTACCTTCCATAGCAAAATTTACCATTCTCTAAGGATGGATTCAAGAATCGCCTCTTCTCTGACAACAAATTCATGCAACACATGTAGGGTATTGTTATATAGCAAAATTTACCATTCTCTAAGGATGGATTCAAGAATCGCCTCTTCTCTGACAACAAATTCCAGGCAGCAACACATGTAGGATATTGTTATTTCTTCAGCTGGCCTCGATCATGTCCCAGGGCAGTATCTGAGGTGTGCTGCTCATTGCTCAAGAATGTACAGTCTGTTAACAGATTAGCTAAAACATTCCACAGGCACCTTCTTTTTTACTGAGAGAGGTAAACTTTTGACACTTCAGAACAATTTTGTCATTTCCTTGTTTCTTTGTGATTCATGGAGGTGTGGGAAGTTTTACTTCAAGGTGCTGAGAGCTTTGTAAATGGCTAATGATTTCTCCACAGCCCTTACGCACCTTGTTTTGCTCTGGAGGTGTTGAGTGAGGGCAGCTATTGGAACTGCAACCATGCTTCTCTTTCCTCTTTGTTAGAAAAGGACATGAGGTCCCACAATTATTAGTTCTTGCCAATTATGTATGAGTTCCTGCTAGCATTCTTTCAAAGATTTTGAATGGAACACTGAGCTTTTCATATTCAGATCTATAGTTCAAAGCTATTTCATGCTAACAGGGCTTAGAAGCCTTTGAGGTGCAAGCTGAGTAGACTAAATGAATGACGTGTGCGCCTTCTCCTGCAGCTTTTAGGGCAAATTTCAACATCGCAAACCAAAATCAGAAACATGAATTAATCACTCTGTGCTGCTGGATGACTCCGTCCAGTTACAGGTGAATAACTGAATAACTGAATGGATGCCAGTGTTGTTCTCAAAATGACAATCCGTGCAACTCCAGACTGAAGCACACGGCGGACTTGAGGGGTCCTGCTCATCATCATTACACCTCTGTATCACAACACTGAGCGAGGTGTTTATCCACATGCTTACTGATTAGCATATGATTTATTCCAGCATTTAGCTTGTACTCAGACACAGCTTAATGGTCCTTACTGAAATGTCCCCTAAAGATGACAGGGCTGCTCTTCCAGCAACGCTCAGCAGAGTCAAAACCCGTTCACAAAAAGAGGAAGACAGTGACTGTTATTCTGTAATACACCATGAAGTCTGTGTAATATTATTCATATCCTCTACCCGACCAGGAATAATATGGCTCCTCCTACTTCATATCCAGAAAAGGAAGACAAAGAGAAAAGTGAGATTATGAACAAAAATTGCAGAAACATCTACCAGGAGACTAAGCTGCTTTTATTCATGTACTCTCCTTAACATGGGAATTCTGCTATTCAGATGCTTCCTACAAGCAGCAGGGAGTCTAAGCCAGCACAGGTTATTCACCATAGGGCAACACTGAGACTCCTGTGGGATTCTGTTTTCCAGATTGAGGATGGCAAGATCACCAATGCCAGTATCCTTCTACAAATTGATAACGCTAACATGGCATCCGAAGACTTCAGGCTCAAGTAAGCTCTTCTTTGGTTTCCTGATTACATTTGAAGAGGGTTAAGCAAAATACTGCTTTTTCTTGACAATCCAATATCAAACTGATTTTACAGAGGTTTTCTAGTGATACTGGATAAATAAAACCAATGTAGAACAGGGAAAAAAATGAAAAAGGATAAAAAGGATGTAAAAACCACAAATGATTGCTGAACAATCTTGAGTCACCATGTTTATGCTACTTAGTTCAGGTCCTGAAGAGCAGGTTTTACAGCAGACACTTGGTACTTGTGACAGAAGGCATTTAAAACTGTCATCTGGGAATACAAATTAACCCTTCTCTGCGCCATGCTTCCCCAGTCCAGCCCAAATCTGTTTCCTGTACTTATCACCTCTTCTGTCCCGCTCTGCAGGAAATACCCGTCCTTCAGTATCTTCTGCTGTGGTGTCTCAGAACTGTTGCCACAGTAAATGGGCCAGTGCTTCCTTGGCTCCCAGAACAGTTTGATTTTTCAGCACATTGTTGAAAGAGAGTTCTCAGGCCAACGGAAAAGGCAGAATGCTTGGACAGAAAACTTCCAGGCAGATCTTTGTGAAGGAAAAGAAGTTACATTTCTGTAACTTAAGACTTCCTAGGAATCATGATTTATGTTATTCTCAACAGGTGATGATCAGCTATTAAAAAATCTCTCAGCTCTTGGTAATACTGTAACAGACTTGGAGACTGAACGCTGTAGCCTTATCTAGCCTTCCCTTTCCTTACCACTCAGTAGTGTCATCAAGAGGAAACAGTGGAACTACTTTGTGAGACTGGAATCTCAGAATGAGACTGATGGATTGGATGTAGAAACATCAGTAGAGCCCTCAAAAATGAGTTCAGGGAAATATTTTGAGGGGCAAAAGTGCCTCGTGTACCCAAGGGAAGCCGGAGCAGTGGCTTGATGACTTTGGCTCACTACAGATGGCAAACTGCAAGAGGTTAGAGGGAATGTTAGTAACTGGCTTCTGTGAGATCTTTCCAGTTTTCTCAAGGACTAGGAAGTTATCATTTTGGAAAAAACTACAGAAAGCATTAATCACTGCAAGAGGTTAGAGGGAATGTTAATAACTGGCTTCTGTGAGACTTTTCCAGTTTTCTCAAGGACTGGGAAGTTATCATTTTGGAAAAACTACAGAAAGCATTAATTGTTGATCCTGTTTTCACATCTTTATTGGCAAAATGTTGAGAATCGTATTCTCAAAGCTTTCACAACCTGGTGAATGTTAAAAAGCAAGAAGGAAAATGAAAGAAAAAGTGATTATTTCATACCTCGTGTGAGGAGTTGTGAGGAAGAAAGAAAAACAATAATGAAACGCATCTTATTTTTAAGACGATTCTTAAAGAATATATTTTAGAGACAGAATTTGTTGCCCTCCTGTTTTGTTCTCTCTAGTACCCTACATGGAGGACGTAAGTGAGCCTACTTCTCTTTGATGCTTCCTGTAGAAGAGGCTAGCAGCGGTCTGTTCTCAGCAGGAGTGCTTTATCTTCTTTTTCCTGATACAGGTACGAAGCAGAGAAGTCTCGCAGGCAGGGAGTGCAGCTTGATGTTGAGAACCTGCGTAAGGAGCTCGACGGCCTGACTATTACTACAACAGATCTGGAAATGGAAATTGAAGGCTTGAGGGAAGAGCATATCCTCAGGAGGAAAGACCATGAGGAGGTAGAAAAAGTTCCACTTGCTAAAATCCTATCACACAAATCTTTGCTGCCATACAATTAACTGTAGGATCCACAATCTATAAATGAGATTGATGATTCAGAACCCAATCATGTTTCTAAAGAAGCCAATGAGAGTCAGATGAGGCACAAAGCTTGTGTACTACTTTACCAGTTAAACTGGGATTTCAGAAAGGATCAAAAATTGCTGTATTTTCTCCCAAGTTCTTGTCTAGTCACCTGCCCATCTGTCCTACCTGAGAATGACTTATATATTCCACAGAAATGTTCTCAGAAATACTGGGGTGTAAGTACACAGAGATTTCAATCAAACAGATGCTGTTGGGTTTGACTCATCACGCACTTTCCCCTCAACTCCGGATATACCATTTCACAGAAGCACAGAGTGGATGAGGTTGGAAAGGATATCTTGAGGTCACCTTGTCCACACCTGCTCAAGCAGGCTGACCTGGACTAAACAGGCCTTGAATTCTTGAAGGACGAAGATTTAAAAGAATGGTTGGTGAAGTCAAGTCAAATTACTTATTCTTGCAAAATCCTAAGCACAACAATTAGGTAATATTTAACAATTGGGAAAAAAAAAACCCAAACATGCTGCTCTGAATTCTTCCAGAGCTGTACCACAGTGGTTGCTGTTATTCCCACCCATACAGTATCAGTGTTTGACCACATGCTGTTTTCATTTTGCTTGATCTGGTGTTGTTTTCAGTTATTACCTAATACAGAACCAACCATCCTACTCAGTATCTGTGGATTCTTGAAATGGAGAATAGGAAGAGCAGGGTCACACAGCAGTAGCTGAAGCTCTTTGGCTGATCCCTGTAGAGTCAAGGACACTACTGAACGGCTGTAATAAAACAGTTCTTGGAAGCAGGGCAGCCAACAGAGACGTCAGTATGTCCAGTTGATCTGCATTTTGGAGGCCGTGATGTCATACCCTGAAATGCGACTTTGCCTGGACGCTTTTGAAAATGGTACCTAGCACATAAGATTGTGCTATGCCAAAGGAATGCTACCCTACCTGCTTGACTCGTCCTGTAATTATGTTGTTTACACAGTAATTATATGCTTTAATCCAATTATTCCTTTAACAATTACACAGAACTTTTACATTACTTTCCTGTAAACTTTGTTATAGTTCCATAAATATTAACATACAAGGTAAGAAAGTTGAAATTGCTGTTAGATTTTCATCAAAGATTTTGGGTTCCTAACAGATAAATAAATAAAAAATTCCAGTGCTTCTTCATTAAGTAAATATCTTCCAGAAACACTGTATGAATAGCTTTTCTCACATGTTTTTGTTGAGTTCTCCAGCACACTTCTGCCACAGAAGCAGATATAAGGCACTGGTTTAAGTCACATCATAGTATTATCCGTATATAAATTTTCCAAATGGTGTTAACTGAATATATGTACCAATTAACCTACCATAATGAAAAAAGTATTTTGGGTACGGTGAGAGGATGGAACTGAAGGCGGCAAGACAGGAATGAACACTGTCCGCTTTCATAAACAAGTTTGCTTGTTCCCTCTGCTACTGTATGAACAGGATATGGAAGCAAATCGCTCATCACAAGACTTCCAAGTCAATGTAAAAGTTAATGCAGCACCTCCTGAGGACTTGGCCAAGATCCTAGCAGAAATAAGAGAAGATTATGAAGCCATAATTGAAAAGAATCGCCAAAGCCTGGACAGTTGGTACAGAGAACAGGTAAGAGCTATTTGCTGCTCGTTTCAAAGATCCCTGTTGCTGTACATGACTGACCAGAATCAGCAAGTGTTTCTCTTCCCTCCACTCCACAGAGCGCAGTTATGTCCCTGGCAGCAACCCCTAACCCTGAACAGATACAGCGCAATGAGAACGAGATCAAGGATCTAATGCGTACTTTGCAGTCCCTGGACATCGAGCTGCAGGCACAGATGAGCAAGGTATTGTAGACATCTCTGCCTGGTCACTGCTAGTCCCTATATTCACAGAAATATATGGTCATGGCCCAGTTCTTCATTTAAATCCATAGCCTAGCATAACTTTGTTGTTGTTGTTATTGAGGTAGCAGTGAAATTGGAGTTCTGGCCATGCTTGACTCTGCCAGATATGCAAAATAGGTTGAGCAACCATCACCAAGAAATGAAAAATGTATGTCTCTCCTTAGAACAAAATATGGGGAGAAGAGAGAGATGGGACAGCTGACTCCATGGTCTAGAAAGAAACAGGTCCAAGAAGACAGACAGTAATACAGATTTCATATTTACAACTCCTGCTATAATGCATTAAATGTATAAACTGTGGAAAATGTTGGTGGAGAATCTTCAAAAATATAACTCAGCTCTTGTAGCAGTTAAAGCTCACATACCCATGACTTGGAGACTGGAGCAATTCTGACAGTAAATGCTGTCAAGCAGACAGAGTCAAGTCACAGGAACACAGCTTTTGAGCAGAAAGAATGTTAGGGACAAATCACTCGGGTTCTGCCTCTCGTTATGCACACACTACACAGCTCCCATGATCCTGCTCTCTTCACATGAAGACAGGAACGCGTAAGTGTTTAAGTTACCACAGTCTTACATTTGCAATCTTGTAGCTAGAGACCCAATTTGCTCACCTTTCTGCATTCTATCTACCATATAAATAGTAACTGTGATATTGGCTTATCTGCCCTGTCAGAAACACATGCTGGAGGACACCTTGGCTGACACTCGGAACTACTATGCTGTTGCGCTTCAAAACATGCAGCAGATTATCTCCAAATGTGAGGAAGAGCTAAGCCAGGTTCGTCATGACATTAAGCAGCAAAATAACCAATACAAGGTTCTTCTTGGGATCAAAACTCGCCTGGAGAAAGAAATTTCCACTTACCGCCTGCTGCTGGAAGGGAACTTTGATGGGTAAGGCAAAGGCGCCCTGGCTGGAATAGATGAGAAGAGAGTTCTCATATTCGGGTTATTTGTTTGTTTGTTTATGCTTAATCAAAGCTTGTGAGTGCCATATTACATCAAGGGTTGGTATTTTAATGTGATGAATCCTAATAAAAGTTTGAGCCACTTAGTATACAGAGAAACTTGTACCCATGTAATTTGGACTACCTACATTAATATAACTTTTTATGAAAAGAAAAATCTCCATTCCCACAGCATGCCTACCTCAGCACAGGACAAAGATGCCCATTTCAGGAAAATTCTTGTCTTCAAAACAAGTTCTAGATCAAAAAGAAGCCTGGAGGCAAGTTCAGATGTGTTTTGGTCAGCCATCTGCAGTTACAAATACCAGCACACAAAATCTGCCCCCTCCTGATGGGCTCTTGGGTTTCCCCACCTCTGCCTGGTCTGAAATCTCTGCACTCAGAAATTCTTTATTCTCTCACCTTATGCACAGAGCAGGTCTCATTTTCACAAAATTGGAGAAAGGAAGATTAGCAGCCTTCGTAACTGTAAATCTCGGGGAGGCAGGACAGTGTGGCACTAAGACAACGGGGTTGTCTGTCAGAAGCCAAACTGGGATCAATTGGAACAACTCGGAACATAAGAGAAACGATGCAGCTGCCCACGGCAGAAGCAATAATGGATATACAGACAGGGAGAGTTTCAGGTTAGAGTACCTGTACCTAAGACTACCAAAGAGGAAAAGTTCTCGGGGTATAAAGGCATCATTCTTTTTTAAAATTTCTCTTCTCTCTGTTCACAGTGGTGTGAGGTCCCATCAGAATCTGTGAGAAGGGGATGAATAACTTCTTGAAATGAGGATAATAATTTTTGTTTTCTCTTTACAGGATAGCAAGAAAATTGGAATCAAAAACTAAAGGTAAAAGTGCCTTATTTTGTTCTCTATAGTGACTCTCAGTGATTGTCACTTCCAATTAAACTTTCCTCAGCAGAGTTTCAGCCTCAGATGAATGAACTCTGGAAGGTTCCATGACAGTTGACTCTCGAGTAGGCCATATTCGAGAATAATGTCAGCGCTTCACTGGCCTTGCGAAGGGCTGCACTTGAGAGCACATTCTGCTGAGTCTGCCCGCTCGCCAACTGCCTTCGGACTGACCTCTGCTGCTCCACCACGTTGCCCAAAGCTGAGACTCCAGACGAAAGCTTTCATCGTATGCGAGGAGGCATAGGGATGCCATTTGGTGACTAAAGCAGCGGTAGGGCTTGTGAGCAAACAGAAAATCTGCATGTCTGAAGCTCATATTCTGGCATGAGCATGACCTACAGACATTTAGGGTAGGCTGCTCTGAAGGCAGATTTGCATTGGCTGGGATGTAGACGTGTTAGTCATTTGCCCTGACCTGGACGAGACTCGGGGTGACTTTCTGACAGTACATTTCACAAAGAGCAGTAACAAGGATCGACCTAAAGGGGAACACGTAAAGATAGATCAGTTGAGGAGGGAGCTGGTAAATCACTGTAAACGAACCTTTCTCTGCATCATCTCGTCTCAGCATTGCTGCTTGTCTAATTAACCTTTCTCTTGCCTTCAGAACATGCTGGGCTGACCAATCGAAAGATCAAAGCAATTGTTCACGACAGTGTGAATGGGCGGGTGGTATCCTCCACCATCAACGAGATCCATCAGCAAGCATGAAGGAAACTGCTCTGCTAACTACCAGCTTTCCTCACAGGCTGAGCTCTGACAACCCTTCTGTGCAACTACGTGCTGTATGCCTGTCTCCCTGTGTGGAAGTAGGGATACTACAGTGAACTCTCTCCTAAGATGATTTGCAGCCTCATATGAAAAGTTTCATACAGAGATAGGTGTAGCTGATATTGTTAGTTTAAAGAGCTTTTTAGTCATCAAAGCACCAAAGAAAAGCTATTCAACAAAAATCACGGGCTGAGCTGGTAATATATGTATTCTGCACATCTCACTGGGGCATGAATCTCCCCCTGTGATGCATTTATTGCTCTGCAAATTAACTATAATTTAAAGTGAATAATCTCAATTTAAAGTGAATAATCTCAATTTTTCTCCTGGTCTTATGTCTCTCATCATATACCTCACTGCAGCCAATAAATTCTTTTCCATTACTTGTTCTAATTGTCTGATTTTGCAGTTTCCTACCTATGTCCCAGCCCAAAGTGGCAATGTTACTGACACAGGTCAAGACTACAAAAGCTTCATTGTATCAGAAGCTATAAAACTGGACAGACAGGAAAAAGAAGGTGACACAAGGCATAGGTGACATTTACATAAGCAAAACTATTACACTCCTCTGTATACAACTTTTCAATGTCATTGTTTAAAACAGCATCATTGGTAGGATTGTTGTAAGGTACACGACTAAAACAGTCACCCTAGAAACACTATTTTATTCCTCAGCTTTAGAGAAATTTTGACTGTCTTTACACACTTTCCTTCAAAGATTATAAATCCTTTTCCAGACACATTCTTTCTCAGTGATCCCTTTAATTCAAAAAACCATTTCAGCTATTTGCTTTCATATGAAAGCTCATTGGTTTTGCTGACGGGCTCTGCAGTCAGGACAGACTGGTATACGCAATGCATACTAACGTAAGGGGAGAGGCTCAAGTTCTTTAGCCAGTTCCAAGCTTCTTCCCCTTTCTCACATCAGCCCAGTCACTGACTGCAGGAGGCCCTACCTGCAATTTCCAGTGATGTACAAAGCTAAAACTGAGCAAGAGAAAGAGAAATATTATTAGGACAGTTTAGACAAAGAAGACTGTATAGGCAGAAGGAAGTGAGACAGAGTGGTGCATAATGAGTGTCTGTATGGATTTGCATTCCAAAGTCAACATCTGCATGTAAAACTGTGTTCAGGGCAATCTCATATGCATAAGCAAAATTGTCACCGTATTCTTTGCTACCTACTCATAAGGGACTCTCATAAACGACTCCTGTTCCCTGCTTTGCTTTGAAACAAGGATTTCACAAGAAAGTGAAAATTTCAAAGAAAATGCAGATTTAAAATAAGCAAAGTCCAGCTCCACCATACAATGTTTTCTTACTGGCATGTTAGGACCAGTTCATGATTCCTCTTCGTGTGTCCCCCCACCAACTCTCCACCCTTGTTGCACAAAGAGATCCCAAAAGCACTGAATGGATTACCTAATGGTTTCTTTAAATTGGGCAGAACTTGTATTACAGGATTAGTAACTCCTGGCTAATTAACAATGTCCTTCCTTATGGCTTACCAGATCCAACAAGCCAGACCCGGTGTTTGCAGCATCTGGCCAAAATGTGCCCAGGTTTTGTTAAACAATTTTCTGTGATATTTAAAGCTATATTCATTTACTCAATTTACAGAGCACAACCATATTGCTGTGATACAATTATAAAAACTTCTAAGTAGCCCCTTATTTCTAAATCAGAAGAAAGCATCTGCTTTGCACTAGGTCTTGATTGTGCTAAACTACAAGGGAAGAAGAAGGAAAAACGAGTAATTGCAGCGCTTTATAGAACACGCCTGCCCTTATTTCACATCCTCCAGCAATGCGTCGGCTTTACTCGTGTCCTAATGTCGTCTCAGGCAGAGAGGAGAGATGCTCTCCCTGCATTCCTGTGTTACGCTCAGCTGTGATCCAAACGGTGCTGGGTACAACGCAGCAGAACTCCCCATGCACTCCACTGCTCTGATGATTTTAACCTTCTCTTACAACCATGTCAGTGCACTCTGTAATGGTCAGGCCTGGACAGCTCACAACCCTGACCTCACAGTTCACTCTGTTTACTCACATCATCACCCATCGATGGCTCTATCGCGTCCACCCAAGGTGCTGTCTTTTAGCAAGCAAAGTAAACCAATTAGTCCTTAAACATATAAATATTAGTTACACTCCATTCTGTTTTCTAAATGAAGGCAGGTATTCTATGGCAAAAATTGCTTATTCCTGAAGAATTTTTCATGGCTTTAGAATACTACGTATAATTGCAGATCTCCTTTTGGTTGAACAGCTGGTGATAATGAGCCACCAGCCACAGGCTGCCCTACATCTAGAGGTTATTCATTATTTCTGCATTTGTGTCCTGGTAGATAAGCTGTGCATTTCTAAATGCATTTGGGGTAGGTCTGCACCCTAAATAATAAATGACAGTGCGAATATTTACCATTTGCATGCACTGTTAACATTATATTCTCACAACATGCTGAGAGATGAAGTTGGGGAGATAATGAATGGGGGTGGTATTATCATTCCCATTTTATTGCTTGAGAAATTGGAAAAAGAGATGACACAACTTGCTCAAGGCTGCAAAGAAAGTCACTGATAGCGACTAAATGAGAATTCATCACTTCACAGCTTCTACTTAACCCAGCTGTTAGACAACACAACTTCCGCAAAGAGCCGCTCTCTGGTTACGGCAATCCTTGCTGCACCCGATGGTGCCCAGGAGATCCTCTCGTCGATTCATTCCAAGGCTGTTCTGCCGGTCAAGACCCTGCACACACCTCGATGCTGTTCTTCAATGTACGTGTGCCAAAAGCCCCACTAAAATAGCCCTGTACCGAACACTATGCCTGGGCCTCTCTGGAGATTGCGTTGTATTTGGGCAGCATTCAGAAAGAGATGGCATACATGCTTCTTTCTCTTCGTCTGAGATCAGTGCTTGATGGAAGAGGAACCTTCAGGAGTGTGATACCATACTGCTTGAAACATTATTTTAATTAAGTCATTTAAATTATTAATTATTAATTATTCATACATTGAATTATATTTCTTAATTAACTGATTGAAATCTGCTAGCTGGTATTTATCCCACTTCAGCAATAAATACACACTCAAGTACCGTTTCAACATCAAGGGAGTGACTGACCCAGGCCCAGAGAAAGTGCAATTTTAAAAATGTAAAGTATCATAAACATGCAACATGAACATATTCTATTTCCCATAAATGGAAAAGGAGAGCAGAAAAATACCAGCAGGAGATCATGTCGTGTCTAAGTCGAAGTGAATGATGTAACAAAGCTTTTGCAAACTAGCAAGGCACAGGAACTCACTCTATAAAAGGAGGCTGAAACCATCAGCATTCACAAATCTCTTGTTGTAGTTTCACCTGCCATTTAAGGAAGTCCTGCACTAAATAATCCTCCAACGTGATTTAGAAGAGACTTGAATGCACTCCAGAACGTGTGTGAGTCATGGCTCGTTTCACCTGTAGAAATGTTAAAACTTATTAAGGTGTATTACCATGCGCAGCCTCGGTAAGTGAAGTGTTGATCCTCTGGAAGAAGTTTGCCATGAGGTAATGCAGTAATGCCCTGTGCTATTAATCACACGTTCTTTCTGGTGATGTGGCCCCACAGCGGCAGGTTTCGTTCTTATTTTGAACATGGCATTTCTGTAGAATGCAAAATTTTTACCTTCTGTCTTGTTAATAAATTAAAATTAATGAGGTCATTTCAGAAAGAGAAAAAAATAAAAGCTAGCATTCCTAACTGCTAAAAGCACTGTCTGCATGCTATTATTGAAGCAGAGAGAATAGGTAGAAGAGCCAGTAAAGCATTTCACAATGTCCACACCCTGACCTATAAAGGTTTCTACAGTTTTGCCAGGAGATGCCTCTTCCTGCGTATGAATCATTTAGAAAAGGGAAGGATCTATAAAGAGGGAAGCAAGGAAAGAATAATGCTTGAGAGGCCTGCAGACCCTCTTGTCCTCCCCCCGTCCTGATTTGTACTGCAAAAGCATCTTAATTATTGACTCGTCCATTTGGCATTGTGAAACCACAACTCATTTTTAACTGTATTGCTGCCTCAGAATTCCTTCCTCGGTAAAATACAGAATTTCTTTTCAAGTTGTATTTTTATGGCATCTTTCCTTGTGTGCCTATACTGAAATGACCCACTTGAGCCACATGTCAGGGCCTGCAGAGAAGAGTT